GATTTCAAATTCTCAAAAAATAAAAATAAAAAAATCCGAAACAAATGGTTCAGAACCCAGCAGATGTGGGTCTTTTAACTTTCTTTTCAATACTGTAGAAACACGCAATTGAACGTCCTTTTGGCATTATCCTGTTATCTTTTCGGTGCAGTTTCCAAAGCAGAAGAAACTGGGGACGTTCACGAAGAAAGGTCGCATGACTATGTTATTAATTTGGACAAGCCATAAAAAACGGGCCCACCAGTTTCTTGTTTTTGTTGTCTCAAAAGAATCCACGTTTACTGTTCTTCTTACATCAATAACTGAAGGATTAGATTTTCCTTTTTTATTATTTTTTTGGGTACTTTTTGGTAAAAGCTGCAAACTTAAGATATTAGCGAATTATAAGATCTCTTGGCTTAGTTTGTAATTTTTGAAAATTCAGAGATTAAATTACTATTTACGAAGATTTGCATCATTTGTGTTTTCCAGAAGTATCATCGACCTTCATCATAAGTTTATAAGATGGTATTTTTCATTTAAGTAAGAGTTATTTACTTTATCCACATATTTGATAATTTTAAATACAACCAAAATTCTTGCAACTCAGATTGATATTAACCAATCATACTACACATGCAGATTCAAATTCAAATGAGACACGTGTCATGCATGATTAGACAGTTTGAAAAATTAAAACAAGAACACCAAATCATTTTCTAACATACCAGTTTGGTTAAGTAATTTTATTCTCATCCTAAAAATGGTAAATTGAATAAAATTTGAAGTATTTCCTCATATAAATTTGATTATCGAGTGTAAATAATCCACGAACCATTTACTTAAGTGCAGTGCAAGTGAAATTTGGTAAATTATAGTACCAGAAAATTAAATGTATAATTATTAGAATGTTTACACTTTACAGTTCAAATTATTGTTTTCACATTTTTTTTCCCTTTTTTGATAGATACAAATCCTATGCTATTAATGTGGTCTCCTCTTGGCAAAATTTTGATATAAATAATGATCAAATTTTATTTTCAACTACACATTTTAATAAATACACAAGTAAAATTCACACGTAATATAATAATGCTATATTGTTTTCATTTAATTCAAAATAATTTAACATGCCCTCATAAAATAATAAAGGTGAAGATTATATTAATACTTCCAATGATTTTTCATTAATAATATAATTTTTATCTTAAAATAGAATTAATTGTTCCAATGGTCACTGAACTTATGTTCATATCTTTGATTTGTTACTTAAGTTTAAAATATCGAGTTTTAATCACTGAACTTAGGTCCATGTCTTCAATTGGTCACTTAAGTTTAAAAAGTCGAGTGTTGGGCGCTAAACTTTGAAAATGTTCTGCGTTATTTATTAGTATAAATGTTGAATTTTGAAAAATATTGAGTTTACAGTGAATAATGTACATTATTTTTCAAAGTTCATTGGTCAAAACTCGATATTTTAAATTTCAGTGAACAATTGAAGATATGAACTTAAGTTCAGTGACCAAAACTTTATATTTTAAATTTCAGTGACCAATCGAGGATATGGACCTAAGTTCAGTGACCAAAACTTAAATATTTTAAATTTCAATGACCAATCGAAGTTATGAACCTAAATTAAGTGAACAATGAAACAATTAACACCTTAAGATAAATACATTAGTATATATAAGAAATAAATTAAAAGATAAAAGTGTGTTGATAGGACTTGATCTATATAGAAGGTGAACTGATGGGCTTATACTGGTGGCTTCAGTAGTGCACGAAATTTGCATGCCCAACTTGTTTTGTCATCAAATAATTTCAATTTTTTTTTTATTATTATTTTTTTTTTATGGGTATCGTTGCAAGTCCTGAAATTGTTCCAACTAATTAAAATTTCTTGTTTGATTCTTCTTGTATTAAGCAATTGTGTTAACGTGAATAACCCTCCTACGCACGAGTTGAACTTCTATTAGGACGAGCTGGACATGATAAAACAATATTAAAAGAGAGAGAGATGTATTATAAATTTTCTATGTAGCTTCGCTCAATTTTGTGTTCAAAAAATTGCTTAACCAACTCTCAACTCACGAACGGTAGTTTTATTTTGAGGTTGTAAGAACAACACTTTTTGCATCCATTTCGAGGCCAAGAAGTCTCTATATATATCCAACCATGGTACATGTACAATGATAGTTGACAATATTTGTTGACAATCATCATCACATTCATCAATTTCAAAAAAAATTTAAAAACAGTTTTTTTTTAATCAACTGTCCAGATTTTGCCATATCAAACATGTTGGAAAAATAATCAATTGCAGTAATGTTCAGAACAATAAAATACATAAATATAAAACTTATCGTTCGATCGAGTCTCATGACAGCACGATATCCTTAAATAAAATTGCCCGTCGATAACTGCTGCAACCTCCGTAGACAACCACTCCCAGGATACAATGATACAACGATCGTAAACTACTTGTGCAGCAATCACAAATTGTTTTCAGAACTCTCAAAGGTACTCCAGAATATATGTAAAAATCGAGTATAAAAATTCAGAATATGAAAAATAAGATTTATTTTCAAACGATTTTCTGCTTTCTTTGATGTGTGTATTTCCCAGACTAAAACATAAGTTTATATAGGCAAAACTGGAAGTAACTGTCTTCTCCATGACAAGAGAATAATGTAGAATGTTAATGGCCGGGAATAATAGGTATTTTAATGATTATAAGTAGTGGGTTGTTACAAAAAAAGGTTAGAAAATACAAGTTTGACCCATTAAATAATTTTCAAAATAAAAAAAAAATTATTTTAGCCCAAAGCCCCAATCAAAACTTTTTAATAATTGCGTGGAGAGTGACCTAAACCCTTGACGTCCCACACAAATACCACATTTCCTACCATTTGGGCACTTCATCTAATTTGATTATTTTTTTTTTTTACATTTTATATAAATACTATAAATATAAAACAAAAAATTGTGAAGAAATATTGTCAATTATGATTGTACAAGTAGATTAATTCATATATATACTAGCATCCAACTGAAAGTGAGGAGGAGGAGGAGGAGGAGGAATGGTGGCAACTCAACAATCACTGGTTTCTTGTACTTTAATTCAAAAATCGGGCGATGGCTGTCTCTTATTCACTTCGTGTCTTGCTCAAAAGATGTGTAATTAAACTTTAATTAGGATAATTGATACAATCTACTTTGAATGACTTAGTTTTCATTTGGGAAGAATTTATAATTAAATAGAAAATGAGTGAATATCACTTATGGTCCATTAGAATGTGTTCTTGAAAATGAAATTTGACAATTGATAATTAATTTATAAATCATTAATAAATTAGTCAAAGGAGGCTTAATTTTAATTATCACGTTTCAAGACAAAGTAAATTCTCATATTTAAGTAGGTTCGCTTTTATTTAATATAAACTATCAAATCCTCAAGAGGATTTCGGTTGGTTCACACATGAATAGTTGTCAAAACGTGATAGACGAAGCTAATTCGGAAAAACCATGATGAAATCTGAGTCCTAAAATATTAAATCATCAAATTAATTAAAAGTTAGATTATCGATCACATTAGCATAAATTTAGTTCATATTTTAGTAAGTCATTAATCATTAACGTATTTCTCGTAAAATCGACATTTTACTTTTATACTATGTAACTTGTCACGATATCAAACACTCACAATTATCACAAATAAATATCATCGTATCGACACCCTTAAATTACTATAAAAATTGCCACGAAGCATCACATGATAGCATGACTAGTTTGTGCGGAAACGTTACCATTAAACATGACGTGGTTAGGCAAGCAACTCAATTTGTGTTTGGGAAATTTAGTTTCACCATCAAATTAATTCCAATTTTTTCTATACTTAATGACATTAGTTTAAGAAAAAAATTCCAGCAAACGAGTAATGTTATCGTCGATATCAATTATTTATTTATTTTTTGAAATTATGTTATTTGACAATATCATTTTTCATGACTATATATTAATTAATCAGTAGCCCTTAAATACAAAATTAAGTAGCTAATAATTAGCTTTTTTCAAAAATATTAAACCAATAATGTGATGGAATATGACTTATAAGTGTACAAGTAAAACTGCCTAATTATTATTATTTTATTAAATACGTAGAGTAGCATTAACTAATTATGTTTGTACTCACAATTGTCAACTTGTTCAAACTGGAAAAGTCTGTTAATTTGGAATCAACAGCTAAACTCTCCCGCTGTTGGCATTGTCTAGGCTAAATTATGCACATGCACATACACAACAATGGTGTCACTCAAGTACATGCCTACCTATTGGAATAAAGAGAACAATACAATGGTTCACTCGAGTACATGCCTACATATAAGAATAAAGATAACAATATATATATATATATATATATATATATATATATACGTGGACTCATCTTCGATGTCGTTTAGGCCCAGCCCCCTATTCATTCGATTAAGCAGTTTGTCGACAGGTGGACTCATCTTCAATATCGTTTAGGCCCGGCCCCTGTTCATTCGATTGTTCGTCGGCTTTCTTTGTACTTCTATGTATAGGAAGATGTATATTACGTGAGAGGCAATTGTTTGAAGATTATTTATTGAAGACAATAAGTGAGATAAGGCATCTTTTATCTGCGCTAATCGAGAATTATCAAGTAACTCTTATGGTCTCTGTATCTACCATAGATAGCCATTTTTTCTTTAAAATGAGACTTAAAAATCAATTGTGCTATGTGTACAATCGGGGTTGACAATTTCGATTGATAATTAAACACATGGGAGGGGGGCCACGCTAAATTAAAAAAATCGTGGGTCCCACTCTTATGAGTACATTGTCAATTGGGTTGTCAACCCCGATTATACAAAAAGAATAATTCCTTAAAAATTCCTAGTACACTTGAAATGTAGGGACAGGTGTAGTAGCATCCTTCACAAGCGCTTTATACTTTGGGCTGGCCGACAAAACCTCTTTTGATCTGTTAAATGCTATAAATCACAGGGAGATGCTAAGGAAAAATATCACCAGTATTCCTCTCTATATATTATACATACATCTTCTCCCTGTGATTTAACCTTTTTTTACATACATCTTCTCCCTCATGAATTTGTACCTCTCTCTCTGACAAACAAATATGGTACAATCTAAGAAGTTCAGAGGCGTCAGGCAACGCCACTGGGGTTCCTGGGTGTCTGAAATTCGCCACCCTTTACTGTACACTTCTCAAATTCTTCACCTTTTAGTTTCTTCTTCTTCATGTAAACTGTAATGCCATGTAATTTCTTCTGTGTATATATATGCATGGAGTTTGAGTTTTTACTTGTGTTGCAGGAAAAGAAGGGTGTGGTTGGGGACTTTTGAGACGGCGGAGGCGGCGGCAAGGGCCTACGACAAAGCGTCAATTTTAATGAGTGGAAGAAATGCTAAAACAAACTTCCCAATTTTGGACAGTTGCGGAGATGTAGATTTATCATCTTCCTCGTTCTCCTCTCTTTCAACTGTTCTGAGCGAGAAACTTCGCAAGGGTTCTAAATCGGCATCTCCTTCTCTCACTTGCTTAAGGCTAGACACAGAGAACAGCCATATTGGGGTATGGCAAATGCGGGCCGGGCCACGTTCTGATTCGAATTGGGTGATGACTATTGAGCTTGGGAAGAAGAATGATATTCCTCCGCCGGCGCCTGAGAGAACACCGGAGTGTTCAAAAGGGAAAGCATCCAGTCCGGATGGGATGGATGAAGAGGAAAGAACTACATTGCAAATGATTGAAGAACTTCTCAATAGGAATTAACCTGGCTGGTACCATGTTGAGTCCTTATTATGGATTTATATTGGCTTGTCCCATGAAGTTGTCAAGAAGTTATACGTTTGTTGGTTTGGATTTCCATAGATATATGAGTTTGATTTTATTTTCATTGCAAGCATGTATATGAAAGGATAATAAGGGATTTGTTTGTGTTTAATAGTTATTTTCTTAAAAAGTAAGTTAAAATGGGTTCGATTTAATTATTTTTATGAAGCAATTAAACATGCTATAGTCATTGATCAAAAGTTTATGAAGACATACATACATATATATTTTTTTCATTAAAATGGATGATAATACAATTTGATCAAAATAACTCGATGTAGATCGAGCTAGACAAGGTCAATTTAGGATCAACTTGCCTCCATCAAATCGATAAGATCGAATTTAGGCTAGTTGGAGCAAATATGTTTTGTTTCTCCTCTCATTTTTCTCCTTCTCTCTTCTCCGTCGTTACATATACACAAAAAGTTGTCTATCGAACTTCATGAATCTATTTCTCACCTTGATGCGCTATCAAAATTTCCTTTCATTGCTTAACACACACACGCCTGCCTTCACACTTCTTTGTTTGTCTCAACTTCAAAACTTAATGTTGACCAATAAAATTGAGACATCTTTTAAGAAAGTAACAAAAAGCTAACTCCTCAATTTAATGATATATTAAATTGTTTTTAGCTGGTTCTTTCTTTGCCACGCAGCCCATGCTTATAATCAAGTAAAAATAATCGCTTATGCGGTATTGGAGTTAGGAGCATAAAAATCTATGTGCTAGATTAATTAGGCTATATGCGAAGCAATTTAATTATGTAACAAAGTTCTTAAAGGCTAAAATGAATAGAGGTGGGGGCAGCCCTTGATAGAAGTTAAGTCACTGCTAAAAAATATGACTTCAGGCACGGATTTTCCATTCCTAAAATCCTAATATTCGTTGCTATTACTCTTTACCAACTAAATATTTGCAATCACAAATTCGTTGTTAATTTGAAGGTCGCTGATAGTTACCAACGGATTGTGCCGTAGGTAAAGAGTAAACATTTTACCAACGAAAATTCCGTTGATAATGTGTGAATTTTTTACCAACGAAATTTTCGTTGGTAAAAATCTTAACCAATACCAACCGAATTTCGGTTGGTAAATGTCTATCATTACAATTGGTAAAAATTAATGTTGTAAATAGTCATATAGGTGTGAGGCATAGTAAAAAAATTATTTACTTATTTTTTTATTATTGTTATTATTATTTATTTAATAATTATAATTTTTTTAAAACTTTTAAACAATTGAATTGAAAAGTCAAAATATTATTTAACCACTTATTGGACCACAAATTTATAAGGATAACTCCAAAGATTTTGTTGTAAACTTTCGATGTGGGATAATCAAATTACTTTTACCAACGGATAATCCGTTTTTAATTACAAACGGAATATCCGTAGGTGAAATATTCAAATGTTAAACGGGCATATTAGACACAGAATATCTGTTGGTAAAGAGATATTATCATTACCAATGAAAAATTCGTTGCTGATTATCGTAGTTGAAAGTGAATTACTTTTACCACGACCTTCATCATAAGTTTATAAGATGGTATTTTTCATTTAAGTAAGAGTTATTTACTTTATCCACATATTTGATAATTTTAAATACAACCAAAATTCTTGCAACTCAGATTGATATTAACCAATCATACTACACATGCAGATTCAAATTCAAATGAGACACGTGTCATGCATGATTAGACAGTTTGAAAAATTAAAACAAAAACATCAAATCATTTTCTAACATACCAGTTTGGTTAAGTAATTTTATTCTCATCCTAAAAATGGTAAATTGAATAAAATTTGAAGTATTTCCTCATATAAATTTGATTATCGAGTGTAAATAATCCACGAACCATTTACTTAAGTGCAGTGCAAGTGAAATTTGGTAAATTATAGTACCAGAAAATTAAATGTATAATTATTAGAATGTTTACACTTTACAGTTCAAATTATTGTTTTCACATTTTTTTTCCCTTTTTTGATAGATACAAATCCTATGCTATTAATGTGGTCTCCTCTTGGCAAAATTTTGATATAAATAATGATCAAATTTTATTTTCAACCACACATTTTAATAAATACACAAGTAAAATTCACATGTAATATAATAATGCTATATTGTTTTCATTTAATTCAAAATAATTTAACATGCCCTCATAAAATAATAAAGGTGAAGATTATATTAATACTTCCAATGATTTTTCATTAATAATATAATTTTTATCTTAAAATAGAATTAATTGTTTCAATGGTCACTGAACTTATGTTCATATATTTGATTTGTTACTTAAGTTTAAAATGTCGAGTTTTAGGCACTGAACTTAGGTCCATGTTTTCAATTGGTCACTTAAGTTTAAAAAGTCAAGTGTTGGGCGCTAAACTTTGAAAATGTTGTACGTTACTTATTAGTATAAATGTTGAACTTTGAAAAATATCGAGTTTACAGTGAGTAATGTACATTATTTTTCAAAGTTTATTGGCCAAAACTCGATATTTTAAATTTCAATGAGAAATTGAAGATATGAACTTAAGTTCAGTGATCAAAACCCGACATTTTAAATTTCAGTGACCAATCGAGGATATGGACCTAAGTTCAGTGACCAAAACTTAACATTTTAAATTTCAATGATCAATCAAAGATATGAATCTAAATTCAGTGAAAACTGAAACAATTAACACCTTAAGATAAATACATTAGTATATATAAGAAATAAATTAAAAGATAAAAGTGTGTTGATAGGACTTGATCTATATAGAAGGTGAACTGATGGGCTTATACTGGTGGCTTCAGTAGTGCACGAAATTTGCATGCCCAACTTGTTTTGTCATCAAATAATTTCAATTTTTTTTTTATTATTATTTTTTTTTTATGGGTATCGTTGCAAGTCCTGAAATTGTTCCAACTAATTAAAATTTCTTGTTTGATTCTTCTTGTATTAAGCAATTGTGTTAACGTGAATAACCCTCCTACGCACGAGTTGAACTTCTATTAGGACGAGCTGGACATGATAAAACAATATTTAAAAAGAGAGATGTATTATAAATTTTCTATGTAGCTTCGCTCAATTTTGTGTTCAAAAAATTGCTTAACCAACTCTCAACTCACGAACGGTAGTTTTATTTTGAGGTTGTAAGAACAACACTTTTTGCATCCATTTCGAGGCCAAGAAGTCTCTATATATACCCAATCATGGTACATGTACAATGATAGTTGACAATATTTGTTGACAATCATCATCACATTTATCAATTTAAAAAAAAATTTAAAAACAGTTTTTTTAAATCAACTGTCCAAGTTTTGCCATATCAAACATGTTGGAAAAATAATCAGTTGCAGTAATGTTCAGAACAATAAAATACATAAATATAAAACTTATCATCCAATCGAGTCTCATGATAGTACAATATCCTAAAGTGAAATTGCCCGTCGACTGCTGCAACCTCCGTGGACAATCACTCCGAGGATACAATGATACAACGATCGTAAACCATTTGTACAGCAATCACAAATGGTTTTCAGAACTCTCCAAGGTACTCCAGAATATATGTAAAAATCGAGTATAAAAATTCAGAATATGAAAAATAAGATTTATTTTTAAATTATTTTTTGTTTTCTTTGATGTGTGTCTTTCCCAAACTAAAACATAAGTTTATATAGGCAAAACTGGAAGTAACTGTCTTCTCCATGACAAGAGAATAATGCAGAATGTTAATGGCCGGGAATAATGGGTATTATAATGATTGTAAGTAGTGGGTTGTTACAAAATAAGGTTAAAAAATACTAGTTTGACCCATTAAATAATTTTGAAAATAAAAAAAAAAATTATTTTAGCCCAAAGCCCCAATCAAAACTTTTTAATAATTGCATGAAGAGTGACCTGAACCCTTGACGTTCCACACAAATGCCACATTTCCTACCACTTGAGCACTTCATCTAATTTGATTATTTTTTTTTACATTTTATATTTATACTATAAATATAAAACAAAAAATTGTGAAGAAATATTGTCAATTATGATTGTACAAGTAGATTAATTCATATATATACTAGCATCCAACTGAAAGTGAGGAGGAGGAGGAGGAATGGTGGCAACTCAACAATCACTGGTTTCTTGTACTTTAATTCAAAAATCGGGCGATGGCTGTCTCTTATTCACTTCGTGTCTTGCTCAAAAGATGTGTAATTAAACTCTAATTAGGATAATTGATACAATCTACTTTGAATGACTTAGTTTTCATTTGGGAAGAATTTATAATTAAATAGAAAATGAGTGAATATCACTTATGGTCCATTAGAATGTGTTCTTGAAAATGAAATTTGACAATTGATAATTAATTTATAAATCATTAATAAATTAGTCAAAGGAGGCTTAATTTTAATTATCGCGTTTCAAGACAAAGTAAATTCTCATATTTAAGTAGGTTCGCTTTTTTTTTTTTTAAAATATAAACTATCAAATCCTCGGAGGATTTCGGTTGTTCACACATGAATAGTTGTCAAAACGTGATAGACGAAGCTAATTCAGAAAAGCCATGATGAAATCTGAGTCCTAAAATATTAAATCATCAAATTAATTAAAAGTTAGATTATCGATCACATTAGCATAAATTTAGTTCACATTTTAGTAAATCATTAATCATTAACGTATTTCTCGTAAAATCGACATTTTACTTTTATACTATGTTACTTGTTACGATATCAAACACTTACAATTATCACAAATAAATATCATCGTATCAACACCCTTAAATTACTATAAAAATTGCCACGAAGCATCACATGATAGCATGACTAGTTTGTGCGGAAACGTTACCATTAAACATGACGTGGCTAGGCAAGCAACTCAATTTGTGTTTGGGAAATTTAGTTTCACCATCAAATTAATTCCAATTTTTTCTATCCTTAATGACATTAGTTTAAGAAAAAAATTCCAGCAAACGAGTAATGTTATCGTCGATATCAATTATTTATTTATTTTTTGAAATTATGTTATTTGACAATATCATTTTTCATGACTATATATTAATTAATCAGTAGCCCTTAAATACAAAATTAAGTAGCTAATAATTAGCTTTTTTCAAAAATATTAAACCAATAATGTGATGGAATATGACTTATAAGTGTACAAGTAAAACTGCCTAATTATTAGTATTTT